CTTTATGCCTAATTAAAAAAAAAAAAAAAAAAAGAGCGATTATCAAGGAAGAAAATCAGCAAGAACGATTGCACGTGAGCCCGGGAATGAAAGGGAAGGAATGAAGAGAAAGAGCGACAATCCCACTCTTCTCCACATGAGCGACGGTAAGTGTTATTGCTGATTCATTTTGACTGATTCAGTCAGGAACTCAAGAAAATCTGAAATGTCATACATGACCTACAGCTAAGCGTGGAATCCTTACAAATTTTCTCTCTCTCGTCATCTCCTCCCCCTCTGAGGAGAGTGTCTGTGTGGAATGCTCAGCTCGGTCAGACGGGAGGATGCAGTGACGCGCTGGACTCTTCTACGCTCGTTTTTACTGCTTTCTCATGTGTTGTGTTCTCGGTGACTTTACCCACCAGCAACGACTGCAGGTCACAACTGTAAGTTTAATGGATGTTCAAAGGGTGGAGACACAGCTCTGGAGATCTGAAGATGTGTTCCTACTTCTTAAAGTCACACACACACACACAAACACACACACACATACCCACACCATACACTCACAGGTAGAGAGAAGTTGTCATAGTAGAGCTGGAAAGAGTCACAGAAAAAACTGCATGAGAGTGTGTTTGTGTGTGTAATGGATAGCTATTTGTGTATGTGTGTCTACCGTTCCCTGCGTTGGACATTAAACCTGTGATATGATCTGCATGTTGAAGCTGGGGGAGCGCGACTGCTTGGTGAGAGGAGCTCCGGGAGACAGGAGGTCCTGGGCCTCCTCCGGCCTGATCAGGTGCTCCTCCTGCAAGCTTATGGTGGAGTGGCGGTGGGAGCCCCCTGCTAGGAGCCCTCCTTCCTTGTCGGAGCCTCCTGCCGCCTCCTCTCGCTCGTCCTCGCCCCCGTTCAGGTTGAAATTCATGCAGTCAAAGGACTTGCTGGAGGAGGTGCTGCCAGTCCGCACCAGCGTGGGCCCCACGGGGAAGCTCAGGTGCTTCTTTATGGGGCTCAGGTGGATGGCCTCCAAGGTGATGCTGGCCGGCGGGGACTGCTGCCTCTGGTGATGCCTCCTCACGGCGGCCTGGTGCTCCGCCGACAATTCTGCCTGCTTCTCGGCCTCCCTCTCCCGCTCCCTCTCGCGCTCCTTCTCCCGTTCCCGCTCCTTGTCCCGAGACAGCCGGGCCGTGATGGCTTTCTTGATGCTGCTACTGCTGCTGTTCAGGCTGCCGCCCCTCGGCCCCACGCCGCCGCTGCCGGCCTTGGTGCCGCTGGGCTGGCTGCTGTTGGACGCCCCAGACGAGAAACCTTCATCCGGGTCGTTGACGTTGAAGGAATCTTCCCCGCCGCTCATGCCGTCAGCATCTGAACGTGAGCGTGAACGAACAAACACAGAGGAGAGCGTGATAGACAAGAGAGAACGTCAGTGAGTTGAAACGGTGGCAGAGCTGATGCTGAGTCTAATCTGAGTGATCAAAACTTTTAACCTTCTGTTTTTTAAAAAATTTGAATGCACAGCTCTTGAAAACTACTGATTGTGAAGTTCCACAATTCAGAATCTGGACTGAAACATTTCTCTGTAAACAGGATGAAGCCTGTCTGCTCATTCATATAAACAGTGACGGCCTCTGAATAACAACAATAAGAAGAAATCATTCTAAAAATGTCTAAATACGTCATCAGATTCTAGCCGTGCGATGCCTAACACTTGACAGACTGCGCTGCTTTATTAATTTGGTCTTTGTGCACCACACAGAGGTAGTGTTCAACACAGTCCACAGTGACCTTGAGCCTGAATCATCTTATGCAATTCACATCGACTAAAATCTGACCTGCTGTTTGTTTACAAAAAGCGAGTTCGATAACCTTTCTCGTACGAGCGCAGAGTTTGTTCAGCAAATATCATCATACCATTAATTAAAACTGTCTAGATTTCTACTGATAATATACTTCGTGGAACAGGCACAACACTGACACGAAGGCACAGAAACATTCAAATGTTTTTAGTCCATTTATGGCATCGCTCTGAAAGCTGAAAGGGAGAAAGATGATAAATTGTGTTAGAAAAAAGCATGTTATTGACATACAGTATGCAGGGTAAAGCCTGTCAAAAGTAGAGACAGATGATCAGCTGTCTCTCTCCGTCATGCATCGTTGGGACAAGCAGAATCGGACAACAGGGAACCACAGACAGCACCAGAAAAAGAAATGGAGAAACCGAGAAGTAAAAAGGTCTGGACTGACATGCACATAACATGAGGAGAAGACACATGCTCTCCTGCCCCATCCCTCGTTTCTCCCGCAACACTGGCCCAGCGGTCACGTGGTTGGCCGGCCGAGACGAGCCTGCCAATCTGTGGAGAGCGCTGAGGCGAGTCCGTACACCTCATCAGATCAATAGCTCTCCAGTTAGAGCTGACAGCCCACCAGGCTAAATGGGGCAGTCTGCAAGCCATCACAGGTCAACCCAATCCCAAATGAAGAGTCGTAGTTCTGTAGGCTACGCTTTACACAACACAGCTGCCACAGTGGTTCTGCATGTGACTACGGTTTGCTTACGTCTGCTGACGCAACACATTTATGTGCTGGCGATTGGTTTCCAGTCATTTCAGCGAGCTATGAAAAATCAGCCTGAAATGTGCTTAAAGCTTATAATCCACCACAGTAAACATCTCTTTGCCTTCAGTTTTTAATCTGTTGTGTCACTGTGTGTGGATTCAGCTGTGGAGCAGGGAGCAGTTTAAAAACTCTTCTTTGATGATGCGTTCAAGGACATTTTGCCGAGCAACGTTTTAGTGTTGACTGGCAGAAATAACGGCAGAGCCTACATGAGGTACGTTTCTAGGACATAAAATCCCAAATAGATATACTGCACGTGAGAAAGAGAGAAATTAGGTGAGGAAGTGCGATGTAAAATTAAAAAAAAAACAAAAAAGAGTCCCTGCTGCATAAGAATAAACACACTTCCTGTGAAGTTCCCTTGAAAGGCTCGATGCTTTAAGTACGACAGTTAGAAGTCTTTATCATTGGCTGCATTATTATTAACAAAACCAGTGTTGTGTTAAAACTAGAACCTGACCAATACATCTACAGCACATATAAGCTAACTGCAGATAAACTGTCCTGGAGTTTGGAACGACCGATGAGCAAAAGAACAGGAAAGGAATGTAATGGAGAAGATCACAAGTTGATAGTTGCTATTTAACGCATGCTTGCAGTTTAACTGTTGCTAAAATAATTAGACACACAGATGGTTAAAGCCAAGGCTTATGAGTCACTAGCATATGGTATTATATTAATTCTGCCTAAATAACTGTACTGACTAAAGATATTACAGCAGGAGTTTGTCCTTTACAATAAAACAGGTTATGTAATAAACGTATAATTTTGTATTTAGTACATATCTGGGTGAGTAAGGGATCCTTGGCAAATATCTTTCTTTATGTTATTGGTTTCTGGGACTTTCTAAACACAAAAATCAGCCTCTGGCAGCTCAATTAGCCAAATCATAGATCCAATCCTCCTTACAACCCATCATCAGTTGAGAGTTGTTTTTTTTTTTTTAAATGCACCCTTTTCAACTGAAGAAAAAAAAAGAAGAAAACAATTAAGCTATAAGAGCAGCTAGCTCAGAGAAGTTTTAGTTCTGCTCAAGTGAACTTCCACTGTGAGGTGAAATGAATGGAAATGAATTCCCTCCTTGAGGAAGGTAAACAGTCAAACATGGTATACAGTGGAAGAAGACTGCGCAGCAAAATAAAAGCAGTTTCTACTGAATGGATTTAAAAATGCAAAACTTAGTAATTTCTAATGTGAAGGTGAAGTCAGTTGTTTCTTTCTGCAGGACAACGTCCAGTAACTACACAGAGTCGGTGACTGAACAATCTTCTTTGGAAATAAATGAAAGGTCTCTGTTTACTGGATGGCAGATTTCTATCTAATGAAAAGACTTGAAGGAATCCTTCACTCCAGATGCACAGACCTCGATGAAAGATCTTTGGAAGAAGACAGGATGGCACTCAGACAAACACTGACCATAAGCCAGAAAATGATCTGATCTTCAGTGTGTTTCAAGATTACAAAACAACCATGAATGAAAATGCACACACACAGTAGAATGAGACAAAATGGGCCGTACAGTCCTAGCAGTGGAATCGCCTTTGCCGTTCGAATTCATCGACTTGTTAACTTTGATGATATTCAGCCCGTTCATTCGGCCTTGTCATTTGAAATACTAACGTTCCGGCGTTTCATGTTGTAGCAGAAATTACTGAAGCTTGCCATAGCGCGTGCATGCAGGGCTCGTTCCCACTCACTGAGCTGAGGAAAAGAAATGCAACATGGCAGGGCACAAAATTAGCATAGAATAAAGCTGCTGGACTAAAAAAGCAAAATGGGAGGCCTCTTCCTGCGGAGCGGCAGCAGCAGATGGGCGCTGCTGGCCGGAGAGACCGAAAACTTGTCAAACACCACGAGGAGCAGCACAGAAACAAGATGTTCGTGTACTCTATGCCAGTTTTGTAAAACTGATGCATGTTCCCTGTTAAAACTGAAGAAAAAAACAAAAATTTTGATAATTGTCAGACACGGAGAGGCGAGAGAGCCCAGAGAAGAAGGTCAAGCTGCAGGCTGGGCGCTAAACATGCTCAGTGAGTGACAAGGGCAGCGGTCTAAAGTCGAAGGCATGATGAGGAAAAAGAGAGAATATGACATGATGACAGGCCCATGCAAAATGGCCGCTAGCCGCACTTCCTTCAAACCCAGAATAGGCGACTCTTCCACTCTTAAATGAGACGAAAAATAGCAATGATCTGGTAGTAGAGGGGTTGTTGGCTGAGGGTCTTATAGACTGGATGAGTTAGTATACTCTGGGGAAGTGAAGAGGCAGCCAAAAATGGGAAGGGCGGAGTTAACCGCCTCAAGCCGAGGAGGGGTAGTAGGAGGAGTGGTGGGAGGAGGAGGAGGAGGAGGAGGAGGAGGGTGGGGAGGATACAGATCGAAGAGGCACCTCCTCCTGAGACCCCCTCTTCTCTGAGTGTCCGCCCCTGTCCCCTACCCTCAAGTGTGATGGGGGGAATGATGCTGCTGCTGCTGCTGTGGTGGCTGTGAGGCCGCCCTCCTCTTTCCTCTTTAGCGGCGGGGTCCCAGGGAGTGTGGTGGTGTTGGTGGTGGTGGTGGTGGAGGTGGTGCTGGGCGAGGCTAGGAGGATTGACGCTGAAGCTCAACTCTGCATCGGTTGAGTAGTCAAAACAATCTGGGAGTCAACAACACAGACGAGGAAATGTGTTTCTTTAGTAGCATCAAGCTTCAATCAATTCGGGCCTCATCATGGGCACAGCAGGCCTAACAGTTGTCATGTGTAGCTTACAGAATATTAAAAAAAGAAAAAAAGGAAAAAAAAAAAAAGGCACGCAATGGTATTTTAAAAATAAATGACCCCATCAGTCACCCGTGTACTGGGTGGAATGGAGTCAGTGGAATCTACAGGCACCATTTTGTCGTCAGTTTCTCTTAAGTCACAAACCTTAAATCTTAACAAGGCACGAAACGCACTCAATAGACAAGACAAGAGCAAAGAAAAAGCAATAGGGAGCAGTGAGTGGAACAAGCACTGCAACACAGAGACTACATGACCACAGTTACATACAATAACTGACATGAAACACCATTTAGATGATGCTAATGGTGTGACTGGTTTACACAGAGAACAGGTTTCCTTCTCACTGCTAAGGACAAACACCAGGAAAGTGATTTTCTCACCACGCAGTAGCTTCTTGAGGGCTTTCATACATCGAAAAAAAAAAAAAAGGTAACAACCCATAAAGTTAAATTACAACTGAATATGGTCCCTTTACTTGCATAATTTTCTTGTCCAGCCTACTCCTGGGTGCTAAATTAATAACGAGGTCAATGGAGAAAAAAAAAAAAGAGAAAAAAGTCTTATAATCTATTCTGCTGTCACATTTACTGAGATCTCTCCTCTCCTTGCACTTCGCCGTGTGCTGCAGCCAAGATGGCAGATGTTTCTGCAGGTCCCGGAGCTTTGGTCTTACCCTCTCTCTTCCAGCGGTGGCGTCGTATGGAGGCGGTGGTGATGGCTGAGATGGATATACGGCTAATGGTGGGCGTCACCTCCACCTGGAGCACCTTGCGACCCCGCGGCTCGTCGGGAGCACTTTCTGGCAGCGAGTTTTTCATGGCGTTCCCCAGCTGAAGCGGACACAAATCATTGACAGTTAGTTTTAGTTCATGCAAAAAAGTGGCAGATCAAAGCATTATATTATTAATTTGTATTAAGGGTTGCAGAAAAGTTGAGGTGAACTCTTACCAGGAGAGGCTGGGAGTAAAGCTCCAGCTGGGCTCTGTACACGATGTCCTCCAGAGCTTCTCGGCCCATCTCCCACTCCCCATTGTATCTACACATCAGAAGACAAAACAAACACACACACACACACACCAGCGTTTAACAGCGTCTTACTTGAGTAAACAGGAGTGTCTCGCAAGATGCCTTGATGTCTGAGTCACATCCCTTGAACTATTATTAGTTATTTAGTAATGCCTGCAGCTACAGCGAGGGAGGGGAGGATAACTTGGGAACACATCCAGTCAGAGCGATTACAATCTGTCACGCCATTAAATTACTAGAAAATAGAGTACTTTTTTTTTTCCTTGCAAAATCACTTGCGTTTAATAATGTATTACAAAAAAAAAGTTGTTGAATTGGATGTTGCCATTTCATGTAAATTTAAAACAATGCGGGGATTGTATCATCATCAAGTCAAAAATGGTAAATTAAAAACTCCTGCAGCTCTCTGACTAATGATGGCGGCATTAAAAGTTCTGCTGAGAGTTTAAATAAGCTAATCTAGCAAAGCATTAGTGAGCGCTGAGCAACGCTTTGCTTTTTTGCAAGTATATCCCTGCGAGTTATCCTTGCTTTACAGAAAATGAGGGTGCCTCTTCTTCACATTCAGCCAACAGAGATGAATGGAACGGCCGCCATGAATAAATAATCTACTGTACACATACGAAATTATAAATACACACGCACAAATAAAGTGGACGGCCGAACTCTTTGATGTGGTCCTCAAATGCAACAATCACACAGCTAGGGACAAATGCTTGGGGTTCCCTTTAGACTCGAGATCAAAAGGATGGGATGAATGGGCAGGTAAAAACAGACTCTCTGATGTTGTGAAGGTTAAAACTTGCCCTCGAATAGAAAAAAAAAAAAAAAAAAATGGGTGTGTGCCTCTAAATTTGTGATGTCCTGATATCCCTGCACATCTCTCTCTCTCTCTCTCTCTCTCTCTCTCTTCATGTGGCATTATAGGGCTGTAGCATTAGCGGACATATTAACCTAAATCCCAGAGTGTCCTCAGTGTGTGCCAAGGTCCCTCTGCATGTGTGGAGCTGTCATGTTTATCTGTCCTTCACGTGTGCCTGCGAGGGCCAAGGGTGAAAGAGCTCGAGTTGGCACTGAGGTGACCTATGGTGGGGATTACTAAAAAGGCTATTATTCTCTCCCTTTTCCACACACACACATGAGGTCTGCTTTTTTTCCCCCAAGCACCACTGACTGCTCCAATCTCCTGATTGCTGCCGTGCACCCTCATGGGGGCGATGAGGGGCGAATGCATCCCCTCCCATCCTCCTCCCCACGCCATCCTTAACAGCGGTGATTCCAGTCACTATCGTATCAGGGGATCCATCTTTTAGGACTAGCTGTCATCAAGGAGCCATAATCAGCTTTGCAATGACTGTCCTCATACGGGATGAAATCACCTGCTCCCACAATACACTGGCGATGTAATCAGTCTGTACAGTGGGAAGCGTCTGTCCTTGGTGGAGTGCTAGCATATGCTGCGAGGAGATTTCCTGCCGTACATCATAGAAAACTAGAACCAAGACTTCCCTCATTAGCAATGTCCCACAGTGGGCAACAGCAAAAATGACAAACATTATGTTGTCTCGCTCACGAGGGAACTTTGTACCTGATAAATTGTGTGTGCAAGTGGAAAACAAATATGAGATCATCTTCCTCCTAATTACCTTAAATCACTCAGTATATCATCGTTCATTTATGGGCGCTTGCACTGATTCCATTAAAGACTGATGAAGTGAAATGGCGTGAATGAAAGCCACCGAAACGCTACGATAATCACCTAATTATCACCTGAATCTGCAGCTCCCAGCTTCATGCAGCTTTTTCATGAGCTTCAGCCTTAGTTTGTCCAACTAGCAACTGCTCTTGTAATGGTGAGACTCAAACTAGACAGTTTTTGGGATGCAGGAGGCAGCTAAAAAACTCTAAAAATCTACTGTATACTAGTTGCTCAGCACCAAACAGCAGCACACGCAGTTAGAGACGAGATGAGAGGAGCATTTAGCAGTTAAAAAGCACATGGTAGAGACCAAAAACAGAGCCTAAAAAAGTTTTTTTTTTTTTTACTTTTGTTTACCAGGTGTTAAGGCAATAACTAATAATAATGTTCCTCCATAACTTCTGTTTAACTGCTTAGTTTGATGATGAAGCCTCAATGTTGTGCTCCCACTTGTTTCTGTTGCCCTTGAGCGGCCACAAAAAACCTCCACACCAACAAAAAACTGCATTTGCAGCTTTAACAGTACATACATGGCATGATAAACGGCAGTCAGCATCTGCACCATGAACTCAGGGTCCAGCAGCACACGGTTGCAAGGCTCCCTCCAAAGCTTCTGTTGTTGCCGAGGGAATCCACAGACGCACAACCTGAGGAGGGAGGTGGTTTGGGAAGAAAGAAAAGGCAAAGTTTAAGGGATATTGTACCGATTAAATAACATTCAGTCTAATGTTCTGCTGCTGGAAGCACGGATCACACGAGTCGGGCTGCGACGAACACTAAAGGGAACATCAGTCACTTCCTGAGTAAACTAAACAAAGAAGAACCAGATCAAACGGTGAGCACGGGGAGCCAAATTTGAACTACTTTACAGTCGTCTAGGTCAGGCAAGGTTAGGCGACGGGGAGTTCAGAGTCTACACTGTGAGGCTAAACTCAAAGAGGTAGCCTTGTTCTCCTGCTCTGAAATCTTCACAGTCACAGTTTGCCATCTGTCTAGACTGAGCTCGCTTCAGGCGTTGTCTATCTGCTCGCTCACAGTAGGCAACAATTCATATCCTGAATCGTCTGCACGCTGCGCTGGAACAATCACCGGGGAGTGGCTCCACTACAGAGCCTCATATTGTGAATTCCTCATTGATCCTTACTCCCGACTCCAGGGCGTCTCAGCGTTTCCAAGGCACACAGACTGAGACAGGTATCCAGCAGCTAGGTTTTTCATTCGACCAATCAGACGAGCTGATCGACTGATCTCTAATGAAAGCGTACTTATCAAATCCTCTTGCAAAAAGGGCAGTCGTGACTGAGGACAGAGTGTGGCTGCAGGGTAGAGGGGGTGATTTAATCGGAATTTCAGGAGAGTAAGTAGCATAAAATGTGGAAAAGGAGAGGGTGGCCGCTAATTGGGTACAAAAATGGGGGGGGAGCACATGCTTTACACGTGTATTCTCACCGTGAGCTCATCCGGCAGACTGACTGATAGGAAGAGAGGGGCATGTAGACCACAGCAGAGTTGTAGCAGAGCATGAGGAAACACAACACCTCAAACCTGCAATCACAAAACACAGTCAGAAGCAAGTCCAGAAATAGAGTGTATTTAACTTTAACATGGTCAAAAGTAAAGTTCAGAAATATCACCTTAAATCCACATCACATCGAGCTTGACTTGTCAAATTCTGTTTACAAATTATTCTGACCAATACGACACCTTTACTGAAGACAATTATGCAGAGTTGCTCAAGCAGTTTATTAACTCTGTGAACTATTAAGAAGTTTTCTAAGCAAACTGCTTGCCTAAGCAGCTTTGTATATTGTTAGCCAGTGAACTGTTTGTAGATGCACGGCCAAATATGCTGCAGCAATCACCCTAAAACCCTAAACACACACCGTAACGGCGATGCAGACTCGGGACTAAAGCAGAACGTGACACTAAAGATTTAAGTCGACTTGTAGTGACAGTTGTTGGCTTGCTTGTTGCCAAAGGTTTACAAAGTATTGTTATCGATATGTGGCAATAATTTATTAAAATATGCAGCTCGTGTGCTCTGACAGCCTGAAGACTTATGCATTTCTGAGCTGCATGAACATGTAAGGAAGGGTGTTGCTTATTCAACTTGTTTGACCTGTAGGTCTTTGCAACACATAGGTGAGATCTGGGAAGTACGTGTGACGGCTCCTCTGTGAGTCTCTGTGTCCAACAGTTCCCCACAACTCCTTTTTCAGTTCCCAAAGAGCTCGTGAGGGATTTGAGGTGCTAAACATGTTATTACAACGTCTTCATTTTGAGCGTCTGTTTGTTGATGAAACTGATGTTGGTGCAGAGTTTAAATCAAAACTACCTGCTTAAAATGATTTTAGCATTTGTTGCAAATCTTAATATTGCGCTTATTTTGTTTCCCCAAGTGTGTCCTGGAGTATGTGTGTTGACAGAGGACAACCAGGAGAAGGACCTTGAGCGTAAGGGCCATAATTGACTGTGTGCAGAGGGAGGTAAATGGCCTGGCTGTATATCAACAGTCGGAGTAAACCGGCACCTCTCAGGAGCTTTGGACTTCCTTCTCATAAACACCATCTCAGGCCGGGCCACACAAATGGATTTCCAGATAAGCTATGAGGCCTGGCCCTGCTGAAATCCATTCAGTGTATTTATGACGTTCTACGCTCATTATAGCCAGGAGCCACACTGCTCTGGACAACACACGGGCTGATCAGCGGTATCTCTGCAGTCCTTACATTATCACGTCCGATAGCTCAGAACTGCACGTGTCCCGCTCTGCACGTATGTCACTGCAAACAAACACATGTACAAAGTGCAACTCTGCTCATTTCGATGCAGCAGAAAACCATTTATCTGGCAGCACTTCTGGCATGCCTCATTACTATTCTAAGATTATCATTCATCCTCAGCAGCAGAAAATATGTCGAGAGCCAAAAAAGCTTTCAGGCCTGCTGAGTCTCGCCAGAGGAGGCTGAACGAGAATCAAGGGTTATGATGTGATCATCTTAAAAGGTCTCTTTCATCTTGTGTGGAAAGATTTAATATAAGGTACAAGAAAATACTTCACCGTGGAAAAATAAATAAATAAATAAATAAGGGCACGATGGCATCCTCAGGGTCAGAGCTGGATTCAGTACGGTGACGCCACACGTGTTCACTAAGCTGAATGACGTAAAAAGCACCACACACAGAGCACGATGTCTGCAAACTACTGCAATTTAATCTCTTTCATGACGTTTGCGCTACATCTCGAATGACTCCTTGTCGGAGCGGTACCTGTTCTGAGCAGTGAAGGTCTCTCTCTGAGGGTGGAGGCCGCTGTACACCACTCTGATCAGGTCATGTTGACAGAGAGCTCCCTCGGTCAGTGCCATCGACCCCAGACTAGAAGGCTACACACACACACACACACACAGAGGCAAAAGAAAAACAGCGTGAACAAAACACTTTCCCTCCGTTTTGGTAGGTGCAAAATGTGCTCCATTGACAAACCCGGGTCTCTACTGGGGGAATTCGATGATTAGTGCTCACATTTTATTACAATGGAAACACATTGCACCTGGCAAGTCCTCACCTCTGACTGGATCAGTGTAATTGGCAACACCTCTTGCTATTGAGGCTATTTATTGGTTTCCAAGTTCAGAAAGGGCTAGATTTCAGGAGATAAACTGCTGACTGCACGACTCTTCAGGCAAAATCCATCTGTTACAATTTTCCCTGTACCTTCTACAAAGTCCTTCACGCAACATTAAGGTCATAATTTCTGCAGCGCTGCTTTTACATTACTTAATCCATGCTTCTATTTGAGTCTCCCCACTTTCTTAAAATGCTTCTGCGCACCGATTGTAAGTGTTTCATTGTACACCAGCATTATAAAACATGCTTTTATTAGCCATTTGAACTCCAAGCAGTTTTCTTTTGTACTCACTGTAGACTCAATTCTCACTGCAACATAAAGTCCTGCACCTCTATAGAAACAGGAATGTTGAATTTTTATCATTTTAATGTTTTTATTATAGAATTAGTTTACAAACAGTTTACATGTGGTGAATCTTTAAAAGAGACATGTAGAATAAAGTGATTTTTATGAAATATCTTGATGTTAAGTTTGGATTTGGTTATGTTTTCCAATGGACCGGCACATCAAAGCTGAGAAGCTTGAGGATTGTTGGAAAGCTTAAAAAATTTGATGATAAATGGTGTAATTTTGGCAATTTTCTTAATTATTTATTTATTTATTTTAAAGCTAACATGCCTGTCAAGCCCGCTGGTGGGTTTTAGGGTCCAGAGGGTTAATTGCTGGGGAAAACTGTTGTACATTTAGTGTATATAATCAGCGTGAGGCACCTATGTAGGCCATTATGTGGTAACTAAGTTGACCATGAGGATTCGGGTGGCTTACCGCCTCTGTTAAGCAATTTTCCTGGGGGAAACCCGAACACACCCGACCCACTGTCCTCAGTTACAGACCATGTATTTATATGTAATCTGAGCGTCATCATTGTAATATGTCTTCAGTTCTTGGACCTCTGTACGACCTCATAGCTCCTATCTTCCCCCTCCGCAGGTGTTTTCTAAGGTATTACTGGCAACAAGTAAGAACTGCATACTTTGGTTACAATTTGTTTAGTATTGTGTCAGTCCACACACACACAATCACAGAAACTCAGGTTGATATTACATTATGCAAAGCACTCTAAATCTCCTCTTTCTTTGTTGAGTAAAAAGGAAAGAAAAAGAGGTGCCGGTAATGACTGGGTGGAATCTAAAATTGCATCTAAGTGAGAATATGTCACAGGGCCACTTAATTCTGATGGTGTGCGGAGCAAAAGTCACCCCTAAATTGAATTGATATTCTGTCCTAAGTATCTTGTGAGACTGAGCAGAGAAGGAGAGGACGACAGATTAATTTAAAAAAGAGAGAGAGAGAGGGAGAGAGAGGCTGGAGTGTATGCTAATGCTGAATGCCTGGGGATAAAGCCACGTGACGTGCAGAGCTGTACTACAGCTGAGGAAGCTTGTTATGATTCATACACACACACATACACACAAAATATAGCCCTCCTCCTTCCTCCATGCTTTCTTCATTCTCTCAGCATGGAGGGAAGAGCCTCTCAAGCTTGTAATTACAGCGATAAATCGCCCTCAGCACACGCCACACACCGTTGTCTCATCAACACTCACACACACACAGATGGGCACCTACTGAGGGCTGTCACGGTGTATGAGAATGCTCACATTTTGCTTTGGGTAGCAAAAACGGCCCCAAAAATCTGGCCATCCGCCCTCCAAAAATGGTCCTTGGTCAACATGTCCCAGTAAACACCTTACTAATGAATTCCAGGTCAACACACAGTCAATACTAAAGGCCTGTTTTAGTAGTCAGGTCAGAAGTTGGGCACAAACCCAGCATGACAAAAAAAAAAAAAAACAATCAGCAACTAAAACAGCATGAAAGAGTGGAATTAAGTAAAGTCCAAGTACTCTCATTTTAAATTAAAAGACATCAGCATGTACTCGCATTGTCAAGTGGTTTTTTTAATTTGTGAAAAAGACAAATTAAGGAATGTTTTTCTGGCAGAGGGGGACTAACACACACGGATGACGAAGCCCTGGAGGTGAGGTTAATGAAAATAGACCTCCAAGAGTGTCAAGACACCGAGGAGGTGCCGTCTTCCAAATAGCTGCTTAAATAAGTCTCTCGGCCACGATAACGGCCGCAGAGAGGAGACACGGCAAAAAAGGAGACAGTGAGGGTGGGGAGAGACGAGAAAAGACGAGAATACGGTAGAATAAGAGTAGTGAAAACTCAACATGGCAGCATGTAGAGACGGGGACAATCTACCTCGTGATATATCGATGGTTTGGACAGGGATGGGATTGTGAAGGAGAGGAGCTTGCTGTTGCCATCTTTGTCCACGATTTCCTGAAAAACCAGAGAGAGAAAGGAAGAGACAGAAAAGCTGTGACACTGAGTAAATGAAAAATTTAATAACAATCTGATATTTATGCTAAAAGCTAGTTAACATCTAATTTGATCTCTATTAACCCAGTTCATCCCTTTTCAGTGAACTGACTGGATGCAGTACACGGCTAGTAGCTCCGTAGTAGTAACCACTGTGCGACCTCGTGTACCTCCCATCGTCGAGTTGGTGTATGACCATTCTGCTGGTGCATGTTATTGACTGCGACAGATTAAATGTCACTGCCAGCACCCTCACCACTCAATTCCAATTTCACCCTGTGATGCATAACACAAAGATTAATGCGTGCCTGAAAATGATTCCATTTTTTTTTTTTTAAAAAGCAACGCCTGATTATCTCCACCGGTCACAACCAGCAGTCGAAACGATAAAATACATTCACAGATATATAGTTTTCACTTGGCAGAGAGCTCCTGTTGTTCCTATTCTACGCCGTAAACCAATTATGTGCTGCTGAAGCGGATTCAAGTGGTGTGTAGGAGTTAACAAAACATTTTCTCTACTACGTTTGAGCATGGCAGGCATTGATTGAGAAACGGTGATATAATGGTTTTCTCTGGGTGATTTTGTTTTCCACATGGGTTAACGAAAGTGACAGTTTTTTTTCTAGCCATGTTGGCCCTCCTCATATTATCCATCTGTCCATCCAGGCATCCATAATCTAGGTTTTGGAATGTGGTACCAAATAGGCTTTATCTCTTTTATCTCCACTTTTCCCTGAGGGTGCCGTTGGTTCAGGCCTTGTTTTGCCCTTCACTGGCTCACGGTGCAGCTCTGAATATCTGATGGGACTTGCTGAGGCCAAAGCTGTTTATCAAGGCTCAGCCTCGATGGTAAGAGGTCTGTGAGCATGTGAGCATGTACAGTATGTACATTCGTGTGTGTGTGTGTGTGTGTGTGTGTGTCTGTGTGTGTGTGTGTGTGTGCGTGCGTGTGTAGAGTGGTATAGACACAGAGGAATAAATTATGCATGGATATACCCTGGGCTGGGCTGGCTGACATGGAGATCTTTCTATTGATATCTCTAGCTCTCAGCCCATTTCCCCAAGGGTGTTTTCTGGTGATGCAATCTATCTCAGGTCTATCCATTACCCGGGGTTTTCCCTGTACGTCGTCTTTGAAGTCAACAGACCCTAACCTCACCAAGGCCCCACTTATATTAGGACTAAAAAAGTAATGTGATTTACATCAACAATTTAGGGCTTTTTCACAACAGCAAAAATCCATTCAAAGGTATCTTCACGATTGTAAAAACATGAATGCACTTTAAAGAAAAGTACTGCCTCATAGTTTCAACACCAGTATTCCTCCATATAAACCAGCAGCAGATTTGTCTTATGTAAAGTATTTGTATATGCAAACCTACGCCTACTGAACAGTAGAAGTGGGATGAGCTGGGAACAGACTTGAGAACAAAACACGCAATCTTTGTTGACTGACAGCGATCAATGAAAGGTTCTGGTTATCCATTTGCCAGATAATGAGTTTGAGGGGTTAAGTTCACTATCAGGACGCTGTGACCTTCACTGCTGCTCATTTAAGACCATAGTAAATACAATGCTGTGATTCTCTGTCAGGGTCAGCTACTGAGCAGAGTTCCTCGTCTGAAGGGACACTTTATGTGGATCATTCTAACAGTCAGCGTTCTCAACAACTGGACGCTCAACTGCACTCACAGTCCATGTAAAGGGCATTCATCTAAAAGCATGGGGAGGTGTAAAACAGTCCTCATTTTCTATTTTTTAAATAACCTTAACTAAGGCAGCCTAAATCCAAAGAACAACTGTGGTCATATCAAATTCCAATTTTAGTTTGTCCTGTTTATACTTTGTATGAAACGAATTGATCAACAAAAACCGCTTATGGTATTCTTTATAAAAAAGCCTCCTTACATCTTCTTCCATCATCACCAGACCCAGAAAGGCTGACACCTACCAGGTTATAGATGCCCAGGAGGAGGGCCTCGATGCAGCCGTTGCTCTGACGATCTCTGCTGGCAGTGATGCGCAGATATACCCACACCAGCTCAGGCAGGAACTGCAGCGTGAAGCGTCGCAAGCGATCTTCGGAGCTCCGGTACAGCTCGAACAGCTGGTGGCACACAGGCTCCAGCAGCTGGATCACAGGTGGGAAAAAAGTGCACGCCAATTAGTACAGGTCTGACACCTTATTAGAATTCACACTGTGGTTGTTACATTCTTCTAATAAGGTTATTAACAACAAACATTATACAGAGTTTAATTTATTCATGCTATCACTCCAGTGGCCTGAATTAAAAACTAAATCTGTCAACTACAAGCTGATTCTGGGTGTTTTTATGAAAGTTTATTTTAGTATATTACAAAACTTTGGGGGAAAAAAAGGAATCAGGTGTAACCAACACTGGAAAAATGTGATTTAACATACTACAAATATTTTACTATTATACTACATTTTTATATTACTACAATACCTGTGTCCTATTTATTTTATCTAAACACAGCCTGCATTTCAGCCGAAAAGACCCAACATGTTGTTAAGCCACTGCTGGTCAGTTATGAGTCAGTCATGGCTTCTTAGCTGCGCTGAGGAGCACAGAAGCTTTAGTTTGCTACAGACTCTCGTTAGAGCAAATGTTTATTCTTGGTGTATTTTTAGATGAAACGTGTAGAATAAAGTGATTTTGATTAAATATCACTATTTCAAGCCAAGATTGTGTTAAGTTTCCCAGAGGAACGGTGCACCACAGACGAGTAGTTCAAGGGTTGTCAGAAAGTCGAAAAATCTGCAGACTGTTTTTGTTTTTACAGTTTCTGGCTTTGATAAATGGTGTCTTATTGACAATTCTTGTCAGGTTTAAGTAAATAAATAGAAATGTACGGGTATAGTGACATAAATAAACAAAAACACGTATAAGGAGAAAGGATTTGATATCCCTAATAAGATGGTAACCAGATAAAATCCCATTTTCTCTCATGCTGAGGTTTGACAACACCTTAGCAGCATCCTTTTTTTAATAGCTATCCGAAATACACTGAGATGGTATCGTGACAGCTCCAGTTTTAAAACTGGAATAAACGTCATTTTTATCGTAGTAAGACACGATGGACAGATGGAAGGAAAGTTTTGTTGCCAGTCAATAGCGGGAGGTGTGTGGGAGCAGAGGGGCGGAGGATAATTCACTACAATGAAAGGCTGGACAGATGTAGTCTCAGGGGAGCCAGCTGAGCCAATGTGTTTATACCATCGAGGGGTCAGTGAAGTGAGTGCCTACGCAGCGCTGCCGTGTAAGTGTGCCTGTGTGTGCTGTACTGTGGCTGACCGGGAAATAAGCAACAACTCATTAATGAACTCGGAAAGGCACTTGTCTGCCATGTCATCAGCAATACAACAAAACAAACAAACAAGAAAAACCCCAAACAGTCAAGCACACAATCATGTTTCATCTTTCTCTATCACACACACACACACATTTATCTCATCATTAATGGGATTGTGCAGCCAGACTGACGGCATTAATGGAATTTAGATCCCTGGTTGCTTAACATCCAAATTTGACCGTGAAATAGAAGAGAAAAGAGAACTGGAGCCACTGACTGTATCATTACAGTCAAATTAAAGTCCTGTTTCGCCGTGTGCCTCAGGCCTTTGCTTAAAAATTGTGTCCTCAGGTTCTTTAAAGTAAAAACACAGGTTTTAGCTGTACGAGTGTAGGAAACATCTGTGTAAAGTAAAAGCTTGCGTGTTGCAGTGTGACTGAGCACGCAGCTTTTCCAGTGCGGGCAGCAGATGGTCTCATTTGTCGAATCGTTGTGTGGTTGTGTGTGTGTGTTTGTGTGTGTGTGTGTGTGTGTGCGTAGAGGGAACACCGTGTACCATCTCACAGGTAACGTGACTGGTACTGCCACTGTGCCCGTCCATCACACGCTCACACGCCAACAGAGCGTGCCTGTGTTTTAGTATGATTGTGCCCCCTGCAGACACAGTTGTGTGTCAGTTTCTTGCTCAATGCCAAATGAGACAACATCATGTGAGTCACAAGCAATGAGTTTCCTTGAGCTAAAAGCATCCATGCCTGGGACCGTCAGTGTGTGTGCGTGTCCTCTGTGTATCACCTCGTTGTTGGGGTCCTGGATGACTCTGTAGAGTGCCGGCACCAGGGACTTCTTCAGATGAAGGCTGCCGGCGTAGCTGGGGATGTGGGTTTCTGGTAAGGACTTCAGAAAGGAGAAATAAAGGATTGTTGATCAGTGGCACACAGTTTTTACATTTCTGGAATGTGTGAGATTCTGAACATAAATATGGTACTGGAGTGTTCTTAGCAGAGAATAATGTCGCAGACCCTCTGTGTGTGTTGTCATCCCAGTGTGTCTCTGCATGTGAGTTCCTCCCTTTGAAACTGTTCGGCCTCCCCACACTAAACAGACCAAGAGTGACCTCACACACTGTTTGACAAAAGTGAAAGCAGGGCTGGGCGACACAGCTAAAGCCCGTCAGCTCTTCAAGCACCTCCTGGTGTGCGTCACTCATGTGGAGGTGGTGGTAGACACGGGTCGTGAGGTCGCGGGTGCTTTTACACCGCAAAGTCTGTCTCTCAAGAGCAAGCACCGGCTCCTGCTGGCTGCAGACTTGATCAGGGGAGGTGGGTAGGGACGAATGAGGGTGACGAGAGGCCCAAGCGACCGTGGAACAACGCGCCTCAGGAGAGAACGATGGAGGGTGAAGGGGCTCCATTACAAAGGTGTGACAGGCTGTTTATGAGCCAGAGGGGAGCATCCTATGTTTTTTATGGCATGTTATGCACTTACATGAATCTATGAAACAGTCTAAGGAACAATTTTCTTAGTGTATGGATGAAGTATCAAGGATCAAATGTCCCAGGCCTGTGAGAAATGCCGTCCAGAGGATTCAGCCAGTGCTCCAAAACCCAAAGATTTAGAGAAAATCATGTAATTTAATTAATTCACACTCATTTTATTTTGACTCTGCAGGTCTTTTAAAACACACACTGAGCAGGAGGCACACAAGCGGTGCAACATGTCAAATGAAAACAACATTAGATGAGTTATGGATGGATTATTTTCCTTTGGCTCTCATGCACACAGCCTTTCTGGTTGTAAATGAAACATGAAAACAGGAGGAAGGTGTGGCTGAGGCGCCCATTTGTTTTGGCCAGCGGTTCTGCTGTCGTACACAGAATCTTTAAATGTTTCACTGCAGACATTGTCACTCTGTTTAAGTGTCCCAGTAAGTCATCACAGTGAACCTGCACGCACAGCACCAGGACTGAAACAGGAACATGAAATTCCCCCGTCATCAGTCGTAGTCTTCAAACTTACACGTTTCCTGGTGTGACATAGAAAAATGTCTTGAGTTTCTTACCACAGTCTAAATCACAGAGCGGGAAAGCCAAAGGAGCATATTAAGTGAAAGTTAAATGGATGCTTTCATGAAAGATAACCTTTTGATAACAAAACTCTTTAAAGACGCTGCACACAACAGAGTGATGATGTAAGACGGGCTCAGAATATCCTGGGGTGATACTTTTGAAATGGTCAAGATTGTGTGTCGTCTGCAGATGACAGAAGGCAGAGATAGCCTCTCAGCATGGTAGTATGGCCATTTTAAGGACAGAACACAATGTGCCCGGTCTGCACCACTCTCTCCATGAGTCAGAGCAATTTATTCATCATATTCCCTTCTTTTAATAATTTTGTGCTCTCTTCTTTCGCCCCTTTAATGCACTACACAGTCACTCCTTCTCTTTAGCTTGCCTTCCCAAACGCACTGTTGTGTTTTACTAGCATGCTAAATACACGTTTAGAGGTGATTTATGAAGGGTAAAGTTACAGACGCTTTGTGCCAGCACTTTGTTTCAACTGATGTGCAAACAGAAGCAAACTGCCTGAAGGAAAAAACAGAGGCTGTCCTACTCCTGCTTCACAGACTTTGAAGTAAAAGTGACATAAACAAGAAAAACTAGCCGGGCACCTACAGAGTGGGTCATTAAATATTACATTTGTGTCACTTTTTAAGCAACATAAGCACTGATCTAGATCACAAGGGGGATACAGACTAGCAAGTGCAAAAAGATAGAGCCAAAAAAAAATGCTGATCATGAACATCTGATAGGTGTTGGAGGTTAAACCTGCATCAGTCAGAGTCAAGAACCTTCTTCTGTTTAAATAAGCTTTACAAGATTCAGTTGTACTTCAACATAAATGAATGGTAGTGAAGCTAATATGTAGCTCCCAGATAGCAACACTAAACAAGATTCACCTTCTTGAAACACAACTGGGAGTCACCCTAAATAAACCTAAAACATCATCTGACTGCTGTGGCAACAACCTGATTAGATTCAGTCATGACTCTTTTCACATGACTGTGGCTCACATAAAAGCAGAGGCCACTCGGGAATTCGTTGAAATATATGATAAGACTCAATTTTACTGTCATTGCAAAGCGTATAATGAAATGAAGTTGGGGTTTTTAGTGCAAAACCGAACCTGGTAAGAAACCAAGGGCCGAACAAAAGGGCAACCAAGAAAAGGGGCCCCCCAAGGCAAAAAAGGGTGGAAAACGCCTGCCCAAAAACCCAAAAAGGGCAACCTGGTGGGGCCGGGGCCTGAAACCCTGGCAAGGTTGAAAAAAAAAACTAATTTGCCCAAAAACTGGCCGCCACCATACAAAAAACACACCATATGGACATGTTAATGGGGTAAAAAACTTGATTTTCATCAGAAGGGCTTCTTGATCACTGGACTGTGTCAACAGGCTGCTAATGCTAATTCAAGCTGCTGCCACCAATAGCTGAAAGTGCAACTGAGCTTAAATCTATATCAGAATGGACAGATGACAATGTGTATTGCATAACGATTTGGGCTCACATTTAGACACTACAGCATGGTAAATGAAACAACAAACAGCAGTAAAACCATCGTCACATTTCACCCCAGATCAGATGCAGTTACGGGTAGCTGAAGCTGACTATGTTTTGAGTATTCGAGTTGATTTTCAACAGTTATTACCATTTGAGAGAAAGTCATATGGCAGTAATGGAGCAAGACTTGCACAGTTGCTCACTGTGTGGAAACTGAGGGCTTACTGGAATCTGAATAAAGGCTTGTGTGTACAAAGCCTGTTCACAATTTATATGCCTGAAAACAAAAATAAGCTTCAGCGAAAGCATGACGAAAAATTTAAAAAGCATGCCTGTAAGACATGTCTCACGGATTACGTCGAGGTGCGCCTGCTTGTGAAACTGCTTCAGGTACAGTTTATGTGTCGTACAAAGAGCTGATCAAAGTAAAGCTGATTCTGACAAAGCAGAGCTGACCCTGGCTCTTAACTGTCCTGAACTGTCCACAGCTCTTGCTTGCATTCTCTAAATTTAATTACAACTTACAAAAAGGACGAAATGTTAAAGTGGTGACTTGCACACACTTGTACGCCGAGCACTCTGCTTCATCACAGCTGTTACACCCACAGTGTGTGGTTTCTCTGGATAAATGCCTCCAGGAGTACATTTCATTGTCATGACTCATGAATGAGGACAGAGGAGAGGAGGGCTTTTACCTTGAATTCTGAGAGCCATTCTTCGACAACACCGCGCTCTGAACCCAGCATCTTCTTCAGAGACCCCCCCTTGGCTGCCTGGGGGACACGTGGAGAAAGAGGGAGGAGGGAGAAAGGGATACGGTGGCGGTAAAAGAAGGCGGGGATGATAGGAGAAAAGGAGAAGAGAGACGAAGGAGGAGACAGGGGAGAAGAATGAAGGAAACAGTGGTGATTATACAGCATGATAAAGCACAATACCAATGTTTATAATGGGCCATTCACTACATGAGTACAAGTACGTATGCATCACTTAAGCATCTTCTTAAGTTGTGGTTCTCTTGTTTCTCTACTGAACCCAACACCACATTTTTCTCCATCACAGTGAGCACTCGGGGACTATTTTATTTAATTTTTTCAGTCAGAAACCAGGTCAAAGCATAGTTTGATTTCAAAAAGGACGAAGGGTCTTTCAGGGAGCCGTGTTCTGGCGTTCAAGGGGACACATTGCGCTTTTCATGTCAACATGCACCGAGTCCTCTTTCACAGGTGACTCTCAGTCCTGCATAATACAGCCGCCCATGAGCACATGATGCACCACTCCAGAAAATTACATAAACTGGCCTGTGATTAGAACTGCACAGCAATACTACATGATCCTGACAACAGACAAAGGCAGCCACATGGTAACTGTGGAGAGCTTACACTTTCAAAGCTTTTGCATTTTCAAATGTATGCAAAAAAAAAAAAAAAAACACCCGGAAAGCAGCAACCTAATGAAATGAAACTATAACATACAGTGGTGCTAACTGTACATAGGCATGTAAAAACACCGGCATGGTTCTCTTACACCTCTGGAAGCGCTGATGCTGGCCACGGCGTTACATAACGAGTCACCACAGTGACCTTACCTGTCACCATGGATAAGTAAAGACATGAACCACCACAGGCCTTCATATGAGCTCTCACTTGACGATTCAAGCCTGAGTCTATTTCTGGCGCTCGCTACTCGTGAGTTCTAATAAAATCTTGTGCAACGGGCGCAAAACTTCACAGGGCAGTCCGAAAGAGTGAAAGTTAAAAACTAAGCCTGGCAAAAACCCAATAAAAAGCTTGCTTAATTAAACTGAGTGTTCTGTTCTATGCTTCACAGTGCCATAAAGCTAGAAATTTCCCTCTGCTAACCGTCGAGGCACATTTTAATGTTCATAAAACATCAGGAAAAATCAGCTATGAGATAACAGAGGAAATATTCTGGTCTCAGGCTGCAAGCAGACTAAAATTAACTTCAGCAAACTGCCCAAAATAACAGGCCATTTCTCCATCAGACCCCATCCCATGGAAAATATATTCTCATTACTCATCCCATAAAAGGTTTGCTGTGAACGAAGCATGTGTCTCAGCAAGTGAGTGAGTGTGTGAAGATTTGTGGAATGAGAGGTGGTGAACAGTCACAGGCTCCAGTGACAGTTTGGATACAGACTGTAGGTGATGTTGCAAGGAGCTTTGTGTGCCAAGCTGCCGAAATGACAGAAATAAACAACACTTATGTAATGGCAGATGCACACTGTAGCACTGTAGCCTACAGTTGAGACCATCCTTTCTTATCATCCAACACCAAAGACTATCATGATTAGGCCACCAGCATTAACCTTTAGGACAGACAAACACAAAGAACAACAACAACCAGCCCAGTAAAAGTGCTGAGTGTAGGGTTTTCACCAGCATGACATTTTAGTTGATAATTAACTGACATACAAATAATTGCAACTAACAATTTCATTGTCTTGCTCTGTTCATTTCATGTCTCTGTTAGTTTTAGAGTAGTGGCGCCTTTGAACGAAACCTTTTTGCTGTAAATCCGACAAACAGCCTCCTCCAAGTTACTGGCCTGTCCTGTTTCATTTGGCTTAAAACCAAAACGTGCCCACAGCAGCGCTGTGGTGTTTGGCTATGCAACTAAGTCCATCATGCTAATGCAAATAGATGCTCAAAGAAGTGCAGTCAGAAGAATATCAGAAATGAAGTTCCTTCAGATAAAGAGTTGGTGCTGTTAAATCAAAGCAGAAGAAGGGGCACAAACGGTGGAACTCCATGTGAAAAAAGTTTCTGAAATGTGGCTTTTAGTTTCAGTCAGCTGTCTTTTTACAGGTGAATAGAAATAATCCTCAGAATTATGCACAATTATTGTTGTCATGTAACCTGCAGTTAACTTGTATACCAGCGCCTACACACAGCTGGCACAATACAGATGCAAGTCTTTTCAGACGAAGAAAATCCTTGACTGTAATCCCAGTAACAAAAACTCTGCGCTGACTGAGTCACGGCTGTAATTTCTATAAATATGAGTCAAATATTACCACAACACCAACCCTCAGCATGTTCTTTGACTTATCTCAGGAAAACTTCTGTGTTCTCTGTGATGATTTTGTCACTCAAAGGACAAGATGTCATCGTAAGTGCTTTTTGAAAGAAACGTGAGCTTGGTGTCTTACCTCAGTCACCTATGTAAAGCTGTGACAGCACTGCAGCCTTTGCACTTAGAAGAACTGTGCTGCTCATAAGACTGTTGTGGATTTGCACTGATGGGATTATGGATTAGGGCTTACTCAGTATATTCTCACTTCAAAGTGGGAAGATCCCACTTAATATTTCAGGCATCAGCCTGTTGGCTTATTGTAAGATGTTTTTCTATAGCCAACACACTCATTCTTTTTCTCTCTCAGTCTTTTTATCATTATGTTCAACTGCCATAAATAGTTCAAAGTGTCCTTATAAAAGGGTTTAAACCAGAGATTAAATCCATGCTACTGTACCAGTGTGGTATGACAGCTCATCCTGGTATCACATATTAATATACATAATATATTTGTGGCTTGAGGTAACATGTGGGTATTTGTCCTGTTATTTTGGTCATTGTACAGATGCAGCAGTCAGTACAGATCATTACAGCCTCTGCTCAACTGCTTTGCAATTAGTTATCATCACTGCTTGTGATTTCCTGTTGTAACTACAAGTGTTGCCCACACAGACGTCACAATCCGAGATCTAACTAATTCACTTTTCGCCCTGCCTTGTGTTTCTGCCTTGGCACAAAAAACGTGCTCCCATAACATGCGGCATGTGACAGAGGGGAGTTGTAAATAAACTCATCGCAGCTTTATCTGGGTCAGAGCGAACTTTTTAACATGTGCAAGTGAACAGAACTGAGCGCACAGAGATTACACAGGCAGTCATTCAGAAAGTTAGGCCGATTAGATGCAGAAAGCTGTTTAGATTCAACACTCAAAACTTGTATGTGGTGAAAACTGAGCCAGACTTTGACAGATATAGCGAGTATTGCGTATATCTAACAAAGTCTAAAACACTGTAAACTGCATGAGCACAGTCCGTACGCTCAACACCCCAGTTTAATCTTATTTGTTAAACTAAAATCATTACAGGCCAGAAAACTTGCACAACCTGTTGAGGATGGATTTAAATGTCTGATTTTTAATTCTTCTCACAGTTTATATAAAATGTAAACAATGAAAAACACAAATGAATGTGATAATCAAAACTATCGTAAAAGCCTGTATTCACGTGTAAGAGAAGATTAAAGCTCCAAATAAAATTAAAAAAACAAAAGTAAAATCTGAATTTAGCTCTCTGATTCATATCTCATCTCTTATAATATGAGTAATGTTGGCAAAGGCAGTCATGTGACATGTTTTGAACGAGTCACTTTGTTTTAATATCATCCAAAGAAGTATCTTTTAGAGTTTTACCTTATTATCAGCTTGTCGGCCTGCCGTTCTCATATCTGGCCTTTCAACTAAAATCATCTTAAGGCGGACTGTAAATACAGCACATCTCAACGCAAAAGTTTCCCTTTGCTTACTGCATGCTGCAACAGTTTAGAGGCACTCTCATACTTTACACCAGCGTTTAGAGGTTGCGACCTAAACCAAACCCATCACGAAATAATGCAAAACTCTCAAGCTGGTGGCGATAAGCGTGAAAAATATTACAAAACGAGCTCAGAGGAGCAAGATAACGGCGTTTCTGCGGGGCTGGAGGGAGACAGAGATCACTGCTCAGAGCAGATGATGATGATGATATGAACCAGTGAAATCTTATTGTGCCAGTACACTGCTCAAATCTGAGTCTGTGAATTGAAAGGCTCCATTTAGTAAGCTTGTTCAGCTCTTTATGAAGGGCTGACTCATTCATTTCCTCTGGCTTGTCAAACTGTCAAAGACTCGCTGAGGTGAAATTCTCCATCGGCAGCGCAGGCTTATCAGTTACCATGGGAACAGCAGTCAAAAGACTTTCAGGCTGTGACAAATATTCACCAACAATAACTGTTCATTTTGTAAAAACAATTTAGATGATATTGCTCTCAAAAGTGGCAGGTCAGAGCTGATACCCGAGAGGCTGAATCCCAGATCTGAAACATGAGATGTTGAAATCCGTTTGTATCCTCAGCAGCACCGTAATGCTAAAACAGATAAGTGATGGTGTTGAGTGTCGCTGCTTTTTCTATTTAACTGCACAAGGAAGACAAAATAATACAAGAGGGAAAAGCAAAGGGCTTCAATCATAACAGAAAATCTGCATCAGCAAGGATCAGAAAAAATATTATCGATCAGATTATCAGAGGAAAGATCGTCAACAACTTAACTGCCAACATAAGCGACAATAACACAAGCAAACCCAGAGGAATGAATGCAAACCAAAAATACTCAAACATGCAAGTGAAAGGGTCAGTTATTGGTGGCATTTGCCAGTAGTTCAGATCCATGTCCCTGATGCATATTTTATTCCCCGCATCTTTCAGTGACGGTGGAAACTCCTAGTGAATGAAAAAGTGTGATTACAACTTTCCTGGAGTTGAATATTGATAAAATAATTGTTTAAAAAAAATAAACTGATGACAGAAGCAAGGCAAGATAAACAATATGAATTATACTGTAAATGAGAAATCGATCTCTTTGTAGCCTAATGGCAGAAAAAAAATGGATTTAGGTGATAAAGAACAAAACGGGAGACAGTTGTAGAGGCATGTCATCGATCGTCACGAGCTCACCTCAGTGTCCCAGAACTCAAATCTCCACTAGGAGAGGCAAATGGTTCTCCACAGTGCCACACATCTGTCACTCGCTGAGGGTCGCCTGCAACAACAAGAGAAAAAAAATGACTCATCAATCAGAGCATCATGGGCAGAACTGACAAGAGAAAAAATATCTTCTGCATAGAGAAGCGATTCATATATTGCTTGAAATCAGCACGTACGAGTTTGTGTGGTATAATGTACCAGTTATACATCTATAAAGACACTCAGCATGGTGACTTGGACGAGCAGTGGGCAAAGTCAGTAGAATTTTCAAATGATTGTGCGTAACAAATCAATGCAGGAAAGGACATAGCTGAAACGCCAGCAGCCTTTTAGGAACAAGAAAATACTCCTGTTAAATCAATTCTGTCTTTCAGTAGCTGACACCTGTGTATGACCTCCAAGAGGTGTGCATTAATGATCAAAGTGATATAGCTATGAGTGCAAGAATCGCTTTAACAGGAAAATATCCTGCAGTTCAGCTTACACTATCAGGATGCTTGAGTTAATATTCCACTGCTGTTGCCATAATCTGCCAGCCAAAGATGCAAGCTAAATAAGATTATATAACATAATGCTGCAGAAGAAGTAGTTTTTTCCTGAAATGTCTTTCTTTCCAAACTGGGTTAAAAATGATAATAGCTTTACAAACAATTTATGAAACAGAGCGGCAACAAACTGCAAACTATTACCAGTGAATCATGTGTTTGATCTATTAGACATCATTTAGTCTAAAAATCCTCACCACAGTATCCTAGAACACAAGGAGATGCCATTAAGTGTCTTGTTTTGTCCAAAAGCAAACCAGTACAAAATCCTCTAAAATCTAAGATCATGAAAAGCAGCAAATCACATTTCAGCATCTGGGCCCTTCAAATATTTGACATTTTTATGTTCATTTATCAACCATTTGTTGCATCTGTAAAGCTTTAACAGGAACCACAGACATCAAACAGTACCTCACAGAATGATTTTATCAATTCTTTAGGCAGCAAACAAGACACATGACAATCAGTCAAGACACTGAACAAAGTCAGTGACAACAGAGAGACTTTGAAGCCAACAGACTGATGCTACAGCAGCACCACGATCCACTAAAACACATAAACATTCAAAAACCGTGCTATCACGCAGAGAAGCCCCATTAAGAGCAGCATGCAAATAATTGTTTCGTAACGGAAACTATGCATTTTATTCCCAACAAACACTTGCTTTGGAGGTTATTTTGAGTCACGGCACAAGGAGTCAATTTTCAAGTTCCCTATTGTTGCATAGCAACAGTCAGCTGGCCAACTTGTTGTCCGCGCCTGCTAAAAATGCATCTCAAGGATCCACACCCATAGCTTCTACTGTATTTGACAGAATAAGTTAAAGCTTCAGCGGCACACAGAAAGACGCTGTGGAGAGGCCACTCTGCTCTGCTGCGTGTCCCTGAGACGCAGACAGTGCCACATCACCGAGCAATCCACTCGCTGTTGAGTATTTTGACCACAGCCTTGTGTTTACCTCAACGAATCTTACATTAGCAATTCATCACAAAGAGTCAAGGAAATCACCATGCAGAAGTCTTATCTGTCTAGAATGATAGCTACCTACGGAACGCTCTAAAGGAGGCATTTATTTTCCTTTGCCAGATAAAGTGTACTCATTCTGTATGACTCATCAAAGCTGAGGGTAACAGTGGCTCCAGGCTGAGTGACTACAGAAAAGAGAGGGACGAGGAATGAATAATACAATACAAACAAAACCTACAACTTAAAAAGATTGCATGTTAGATGACAGAATCATGTAAGACGAGGTTGGAAGGGGTAATTTGTATTCTTAGTCCTTTAGAACAAGAAACTACCATTTGGGATCAACCTCACTGTATCTCATTCACTCTATAAGGTAGAAACTATCTGTTAAACAGCACAAACTAGAGGTGGACCCTTGATATGTACAATGAGGAAATATATGCTAAATATGCAGGACATCAAAAAAACCGACATGTGAAGCGTATAACAGTTTATTTTCTGCTTGGAAACCTTGAGGTCTGGCATTTATGTGGATGTTACTATGACATATCACCCACCTAAATATTGCTGAAGACCAAGCACACCACCACAGTGGCAACAGCCCTCTTGGATGGATGGCAGTGGCCTCCCCCAGCAGGGCAATATGCCCCGCCCCAACACAAAAAATGCTCAGAGAAGTAAATGGTCTGCACTTATATCCAAAGCGTTTACAATGTGTTTCTCATTCACACACCAGTGGTGACAGAGCTGCCACGCAAGGTACTGCCTGCAACTTCGGGTTCAGCGTTTTGCCCAAGGACACTTCGACTGTTAGGGGTGGGGGATCGAACCGCCAACCTTGCAATTGGAGGACAACCCACTCTACCACCTGAGCCACAGCCGTCAAAGTGTAACTTGACAGAGTCCAAGGCATTCAAGCATCCACAAGATGCGCCACAAGAGCCCAATCCACCAATGCCCCGCCCTGCAGCCCACAGGACCCAAACCCGTCCCAGTGCCCGACACCAGTGGAAACTCCCAGACATCCTGTGTCCATGTCTGATGGGTCACATCTGTTCTGGTGACACAAGGGGGACCAATAAAATAATAGATGGTTGGTTTAATATTGTGGCTGATTCATGTAAATTTGAATGTTTTGCAACTCAGTTTGAATCACGGTAGTGGTGCCTTTAATATCTCTGGGTACATCAGGCCATTGTTGGCAATTCTGTGAATTAATGAGCAAGACTGTTTGGCGGCAATACAGGGTTATTAATAGCATTAATGGAATGATATACTTTGATTCATCAGGCATTAACTTGTTAGATTAGGTGGAAACTGCCAGTCAACATGGTTATGTAACTGAATATTCTGTTGTGCACCATAGCCTCCAAGCTTGTAATTATTCTAAACTAAGATCTGTCCCCCCCATGTCCAAATCACGCCAGAAGATCACAATGTGTATTGGACTTCGAAACATAAAAATGTAAATTCATATAAATTCTTTTTTTTTTTTTTTACACATCTAGATATATTCTGTCCCACATGAGAGTAGAGTATATACAACCATGAAGTTTCTCAGTATACTTTTCAGAGATTACCAGGCAAGTAAAAGAAGACAAAATCACCGGAACAGGAGTATTGGTCTTTCAATTGTCACACGAGTCAGATATACTTTTGTATTTTCCTGAAATCATACATAGATGTAAGAAAAAACCACTGCACTGTAACAAAAGAACATTTTTTAGGTCTTACGCTGAGCATAAGCAACAGAGTTTCCCAATTATACAGCACAGTATTAGCAGAAAATTTGCAAGACTAAGACACAAACTTCTCGCTACAGCTGAGCAGGGTTACAATTTTGCTCTTGTTTCTCATCAATTTTAATTATCTAGTACTTACATGGAAACTAGAGTATGTTTCCTCCAAACTCCGTAGCCATCCTATTCCAGTATTTGCATGTCAACAGTGTGCTCCAGTCAGCCGGCGCTGTTGAATAAATATGTCATACACCTAATGAGGCCTGGCAAGTGACAATAAGCAAAGTTCCCTTGAAGGGCTGCTCTTGCTCTACACAGGACCTGCTCATTGTCCTGTGGCGGGGCCCACAAGGGAATAGGAGAGTGCCAACCCATCCTGTTTACGGCACTTCAAACCCCATATCACAATTACATAGCTTAACACGCTGCTAAACAGTGCACAAGGTTAAAACAAAGCCGGAGAGTGTGTTTTGTGTGCCTGGTTTCAAAACAGAGCCGTTAACATACAATGTGCTGCATTGTGAATTAACAGTCAGGCAATAGCGACGCTTGAACTGAACTCAATTGCAGGAACCAGCGCCTCTCTTAAAACCTTCACAGCTTAAAGAGTGTAGCAGGGCTGTTCGGTGGACTCTAGACAGTGCAACACTCCAACATCAGCTGTGTTTACTCATTCACTGATATTCTACATAATCATCACACAGTAGCGAGCAGTAAAAAATTTCGGACTCTGACTAATTATTGTCATTTTGCGTCATCATCGTCAGCTGTTATGCAACGTCACTTATCATCTGGAAAAGGAGTGTACATGCTCCGGGCAGCACGTGTTTCATTCTGCTGTATTATATATTAAAGATAACACTCAGAATTCAGCCCATTAAATAAACAACTACAGAGTTAACGTTGAGCACTATATGGTAAGAGTCTACAGTCATGCTAGTGGTTCTGTGAGGCTGTACAGTAGTACTTTAGGTCAAGTAATGATGTTGCATGCTGATGTTTAGTTGATGCGATTTCTACATGTTCATCATCTTTGCCATTTGCTAAAGTTGCTAAGCTAAACCTGATGATTTCAACATTTTGACCTGTTGATTTTCTTGTATTTTAATCTGCTCTTAATTGTATTTTGAAGAAACAGGGCAAGACATTTTTAAAAAGCAAATATTCATTCCATCAGGCTGCATAGGTTTTTCTTTTACTTTCAAAACAAAATGCGTTTATTCACATGATTATTGACTCAGAGTGGGCCTTCGGGGGGCGGCTACGCACAAAAGTAAGCCTGATCAAGCCTGAGCAACCTTATTTGATTTTTTTGTCCTGTTATCTCTGGCCATATTCCTTTGGTGCCAGTCAAAACCTCTTTGGCAAGGCACCTAAAACTTCTTCTGCCAAAAATGACTCTGTGCAGGAATAACTGTGTCTGAATGCATGGGGGTAAAATAGTGTTAGCATTCACACTGCCAGTGATTAATACACAACTGAGAAAAGGGCCACCGAGCAGCCCAGTCATGCAGATATTGAGTGTTATGTTGTTCAAACTGCACTTACGAGTGAGGGGAGGGAACTGCTCACTAAACACTGTTGATTATGATTGTTTTCATGTTGGAGCCCTGAACGTCAGCAGTCTCATGACTCAATAAGTACTGTATTTGTTAGTCAAGCTGGTAAATACACTTTTTTTTTCCCAACACAACCAGTCGAGTTTGTGCTAAAATCCACAACGGCAGCATAAGATTATTATTTAGAATGTTGGGTCAAGGCTGCTGTGCGTTAGTGTGCCATGATTTTGCTCTCGCCCACGCAGG